GCGGGGAGCACTTCCCGGACCTCTTCCACGTCATGAGCCACAAGGAGGCCCATATGGCCGAGAAGCCGTACGGCTGCGACGCCTGCGGCAAGACGTTCGGCTTCATCGAGAACCTCATGTGGCACAAGCTGGTGCACCAGGCGGCCCCTGAGCGTCTGCTGCCGCCTGCGTCCAGCGCCACGCAGCCCCCCGACGGCGGTGGCGGAGCGGCTGAAGCTGCCAGCGCGCTGGACAACGGGCTGGCGGGCGAGGTGGGCGCGGCTGTGGCAGCGCTGGCGGGTGTGGCGGGGGGCGAGGACGCAGGTGGCACAGGCAGCCAGGGCGCGGGCGGTGGAGGCTCGGGCCCTGAGCGCTTCAGCTGCGCCACCTGCGGCCAGAGCTTCAAGCACTTCCTGGGGCTGGTGACGCACAAGTACGTGCACCTAGTGCGCCGCACCCTGGGCTGCGGGCTGTGCGGCCAGAGCTTCGCGGGCGCCTACGACCTGCTGCTGCACCGCCGCAGCCACCGGCAGAAGCGCGGCTTCCGCTGCCCGGTGTGCGGCAAGCGCTTCTGGGAGGCGGCTCTGCTCATGCGGCACCAGCGCTGCCACACGGAGCAGCGGCCCTACCGCTGCGGAGTGTGCGGCCGCGGCTTCCTGCGCTCCTGGTACCTGCGGCAGCACCGCGTGGTGCACACGGGCGAGCGCGCCTTCAAGTGCGGCGTGTGCGCCAAGCGCTTCGCGCAGTCCTCCAGCCTGGCGGAGCACCGGCGGCTGCATGCAGTAGCACGGCCCCAGCGCTGCGGCGCCTGCGGCAAGACCTTCCGCTACCGCTCCAACCTGCTGGAGCACCAGCGGCTGCACCTGGGCGAGCGCGCCTACCGCTGCGAGCACTGCGGCAAGGGCTTCTTTTACCTGAGCTCGGTGCTGCGGCACCAGCGCGCCCACGAGCCGCCGCGGCCCGAGCTGCGCTGCCCCGCCTGCCTGAAGGCCTTCAAGGATCCCGGCTACTTCCGCAAGCACTTGGCGGCCCACCAGGGCGGCCGGCCCTTCCGCTGCTCCTCCTGCGGCGAGGGCTTCGCCAACACTTACGGCCTCAAAAAGCACCGCCTGGCACACAAGGCCGAGGGCCTCGGGGGACCAGGCGCGGGGGCCGGCGCCCTGGCGGCGGGGAAGGACGCCTGAGCAGGGCCCCACACCCACCCCTGTAGTGCGACCCCCACCCGGCCGGTGGACGAGCGCGCTTCCTTATCTGCGGTAAACCAGACTCCTCTCACCCCTAGACTCAAGACTGCATCCCTCCCACAGGGCCCCAGCAGCCCACCCCCTTCCCCCCCCATTCCCCAGCCCATAGGACGCAAACCTGATGGTTGGCGACCATTCAACCCTCTTTTTGTAGCCCTACCCCAGCCCCGCTCCCCGCACCATTCGGCCCCCAGGCAGGGGGGGCCCTGCCCGCGACCTCGCTGTTCTTGAATCTGTTAGGGACAGTGGAGGCGGGGTGTGGGGTGGGGGGGAAGGCACCGGTGGGGACTGGATGCTCTTTGGGATTGAGGGTGTGGGGTGGGCTAGCAGACGCGGCTTGTACAGAGCAGAGATAAATAAATCTTATCAACAGGGTGGCCGGAGTCCTTACTTGCAGCCCAGGGGGCCTGAGGACCAGGTGCTGCAGAACAGAACGGTGGACGCCAACCTGTTCTGGGGTGTCCTCAGCCTGCAGCCGCTGCGCAACCCTCCCCATCCAAAAGCTTTGGTGGAGGGCGCCTCCATGCCAGGCTGTGCAGTGAGAGTTGGGGGTCTGGAGGTGAACAAGACCATGCGTTCTTATGAAGGTGCCTGCATTCCTTACCCTCCCTAGTGTCATCCCTAATTAATCTCCCAGCTGGCCTGCGGGGCGGATGGGGGGTGTCCCTGAGGAAGCACAGGGTGGAGGTGGGGGTGCACCACTGGGCTCCATGCCCTTCTTCAAGACTCATAAAACTCTCTGAAGTTTCCCATTGTGGCCCCTCCCTGGCAAGCTCCCCTCGTTCACAATACACCCCCACCCCTTCGAATCAGAATTGAGTGGGGAGCTCCTCAAAACGTTAGTTGCTTTCCAGTGGATTCCGACTCCCGGGGAGTGTGTGTGCAGCGAGGAACTGCGCGGTGGGCTTGTCCACGGCCCTTTCAGAAACCTTGCTTATGATCCGCTCTCGGCGTGGGTTTGAACCACTAACCCAGCAATTCATGCTGCTTCAGCCACGTGTCACCGGGACTCAGAATCACCAGGTCACGAGAATCATTGTCAGGTGCTGCCAAAGAGTGGGTTCTGACCCAGTGAGACCCCTTCCCGCCCCTGGTGCCAAAGAAACAAACACTGCTCTGCCCTGCGCCATCCTCCCAATTGTTCCTAGGAGTTGCAGCCGCCGGGCCAATCCAATCCTATTCAAGGGAACCCTTTAAAACGTGACGCTTGAGATGAGCCAGCTCCAGGGGAGCAAAGATTTGGGGAGGTGGGAGGGGCTGCCTCGATACGTCTGGTTGGACCTACCCACCAGAGGACCTCAAGCTAGTGTGGCCACTAAGTTCTAAAGGCTTGAGAGCCAGTGTGAAGCAAGCCTGATGCTCAGAGACCCCGTGGGCTGGAGCCTCAGTATAGGGGGCGGAGATGGGGAGGGGCGGCTAGGAGGATCTCCCAGGAAGGAAAGCTGACACCTGAAAGGCAGCGACATCCCAGGGGCTTGCCAGGTGACAGGGACCAGGAATTCCAGGTGGAAGGGTGGGAGTGTCTGTCCAGCCACCCTGGAGGATTTCACACAATCAGTAAGGCAGGCAGATGCTCAGGTGGCACAGTTAAGCAAGCGCTGTGAGCCCACAGGTGGGTGCTTCAAGCCCACCAGGTGTTCTGTGGGAGACAGGTGGCAGTCCGCTTCCCTAAGGACTTCAGCCTTGGATAGTCTATGATGCAGTTGACTCCACTCCATAGGATCACTGTGGTCAGAATAGTGAATTGAAGGCAGTGCCTTTACCCTTTGTTCAAGGGCAAGTACCAGCACCCACGACCAGCTGCACCCCATCAGAACAAGATGAGGTGACCAGCTTCCCTGAAGATCACAGCCTAGAAAACCCTACGGGTCAGTTCCGCTCCGACCTATAGAGTCACTCTGAGTCAGAATCCTCCACTTGAAGGCAAAGGGTATGTGTTAGGATGGGTTGACTAGAGAAACAAATCCAGAGACACTCGTATGTATAACAAAGAACTTTATATAAAGAGTGATTGTACATTAAGAAAACAGCCCAGTCCGATCAAGTCCATAAGTCCGATATTAGCCCCTATGTCCAATACCAGTCTATAAATTCCTCTTCAGACTCACAAAACACATGCAGTGAAGCTGAGTGCAGGAAGATCACAAGCCAGTGGATGGGAAATCTTGTGGATCCAGTGGTGGTGGAAGCCTGTCAGCACGGGTGTGGGTCTCCACGTGGCTCCTCCAGCTCCAGGGCTCTGGCTGCATCCGAGTAGCTCCACGTGGCTTGTCATCAGGAATGTCAAGCAGAGAGTGTATCTGGGCTCCAGTGAGCTATTTATCTCTGTAGTGCCTCCAAATGACGCCATCAAGTTGTGACCTGATTTGCAGGCTGAACTCCACCCCTTCACTCTTAATAGTCTCAAATTGACACCAGATTATGTAACTGCCACCGGGTATGTAATGCGGCTGGAGGCTGGGGTATGTGTCCATCATGAGTCTGAAGAGGCTGGGCCCTGGAAAAACCTCCAATTCCAAATTGAGGTGCTTGGATGGTTTCAGGTCCGGTCTCTGGTGTTGGAAATCAGTTCTCATCCAGTGATGTGTTTCGCCCAGTCCACCAAACCGAAAACTAAACTCACTGCCATCGAGTCAATGCTGACTTATAGTGACCCCATGGGACAGGGCACAACTGCCCCTGTGAGTTTCTGAGACTCTTAACTGTAGTAAACAAAAGAAAGCCCCAGCTTTCCCCCATGCAGCAGCTGGTAGTTCCAAACTGCTGGCTTTGCAATTAGCAGCCCAACACAGTCCACACATGAATTAACTAAATTAATGAAATCATTGATGAATTAATTGAAGCACTTAGGAAAATCAGAAAATCAGACGGATTTTCCACAGTACAAATGAAAATTCCAGAAAAAAATATTAAGAGCTAGCACGCTTGTATGCATTCCTCCACTGGCCTCTTTCGAGTTACCCCAGTTCACGGCAGTACACACCACTCTTTGTGGAATCCTAGCACCGACCTGAGATGCAAGCTGCCCTATTCCACTCCACTTGCACCACTATTTCCCCTTCAGCCTGGGCCACCTCACCCCAATTTATATTGTCAGGTCCCATGGGCATTCATGTTTGCAATCACTTGGCAGAGCAACAAGGAACGGTGAGTTGGCGATGAGGTTGGGACCTGTCCTTGAAGGTTCTAAGTAAGCGTAGTATGACTAATTGAGAAGGCAAGGTCCTGTTAGGTAGCTAGCTAAGGGACAGGGGGTTGTCCCTCCCATATCTGCAAAGGCCTCCATGGAGGAGGTTGGAAGGAAATCAGGCAACCTTTAGACACCTAAGAAAAACCAAATTGAGCATACTTGTACTCAAGCCCCCCAGCCAGGTGGGGGGTGCACCTGGGCAGGCCAAACTAGGCCAAGGCTCATGAGATCACCCAGGTGAGCCTAACAGCCAATGGGGGTCAACCAACCCCATCTACCATGTTTTCCCCCAGCCAGGGGGTGGGCTAGAATAAAGGCATGAAGCTCGCTCTGGGACACTCTTATCCTGCTCCGGCTCAGAGGAAGGTAGAGGGGGAAGGTCTCCCTACCCCTTGCAGGGGCTTATGTGCCCGCTCCGGGCCCACAGCCTCCTAGCACACATGTCCTCCGCCTGTAGGGTTCTTGGGCTCCTGGCCTTCTAGGATCCCCCACTCCCCACCCCACCCCAAGATCCGCACGCATGGGTGCTCTTTTCCACGTGGTTGTTCAGGCCCAGTTGGGAACCCCTTTGAGACTGTAAAACCTGAAACTTGTCCTGTCCTTCATCAAAACCCACTTGGGTTACAAAATGGGTTTGGGCGTGAATTCTTTCATCGTGTGAAGCTAAGAACTGAGGTATCACCAACTCCCCAAACTTTACAGTCCAAGGGTTAATGGGCTGGCAGGGCTGCTGCCCAGCTGAGAGAGGACTGTTGGCTTGCTCTACAAGGACAGTCGCCATGGAAAGAAGTGTTGATAGCACAGGTGGTTAGCGGGCTCAACAGTGGGAGATGGATGCAGGATTAGGCATGTGGACGGTGGACTGGACGTCCGTCACTCAGTGTAGATGAAGCTCTCCCCATCTGAATGTTTCTAACACAGTTTATATTACTCTTTGTTCTATTTTTAACATACAAAGAGGAAACAGCGCAGCAGCCTGGCCTGGGTGGCAGGACTAACAAAGTAGAAGCAGGGAGGCATTCTGGAGTTAATGCTGGTCATCTTGAGGACCAGCTGACTATGAATGATTGACATACCTGGGCAGTTACATCATCTCCTGTCAACTTGTGAAGGGGTGGAGGCAGGTTGCAGTTTGGTGACGTCACTTGGAGGCACTACAGAGATAAATAGCTCACTGGAGCCCAGATACACTCTCTGCTTGACATTCCCGATGACAAGCCACGTGGAGCTACTCAGATGCAGCCAGAGCCCTGGAGCTGGGGGAG